CCCCAAAACCCCAAAACCCCAAAACCCCAAGCGTTAATAATCAGTTAAACAAGTGGTTAGAATAATCGTGATTTTATCAAAGAAGGTATTTAATTTATATACAGTAATATAAATTAACTATGACATTAAAGAGGGCAATAATTGACTTCAGATTTATCAAAGATTTGGGATTCATAATTATTTTTACTTTGGTGATGTCAAGATAAAGCCTTGGTAACATTCATTATAATGATGAGGGTAGAGATTGGACTGGAATCTGTTCAACTGTAAGATATTATTTTTATGCAATTAATCTCAATTCTATAAATATAGGGAAAAAGCTAATCTCCTATTGACATCCCTATAAAATGGGCCACAGAGTCAGATAATCTACTATTTCTGAAAACTAGCTCAACATTAGATGTAATGGTGTCTTAGAAGTAGATGTCTAATTTGACATTGAAAGATAACATTTACACTTACTACTATGCCTTCACTGGAGGGTATTTGGCTTTTTGGGATGAAAGCAACAATCTAGATACCTACTAACTCTTACAGTTTCACGTTCATGCTCCCTCAGAACATACTTTTAACGGCAAACATTATGATGTTGAGATTCATTTTGTTCATTAGAATACTAACAACAATAAATTAGTGGCTTTTGGACTGTTCTTTGATTCTAGAACAGGAGGAGACAAAGAAAATGAATTCATAACTGCCTTAGGAGTTGGAAAAAGCAATAACACAGCTCTCTCAGAAATTCCAGCTCTTAATTTGCTTAAAAATCTCAATTTTAAAGAAATATTTCACTATGAGGGTTCACTCACTACTCCTCCATGCAGTGAGGTTGTTTCTTGGATATTAATTCATGATGTTCAACCAATATCATCAGCTTAAGTTAAAGATTTCAATAATAAGTGGATGAACAATAAAACTTTTGCTGGAGGCAAAGGAAACAATAGAGAAGTGTAACAACTAAATCAAAGATTCATTTACAAGAAAGACACTGCATCAATGTAAGACTAAGCCATTATTATTGATGGCGTGTGCTTCATAATGCTATTGCTGTTTGCTATTTATCTAAGTTGATTAAGCATTGATAAAACATAATTCAATCAGTAGTTTAGAATTCAAATTAATACTGTTCACATAGTGAGAATACTAATCTTATCTATTAATTTTTTAAAAGCGTTAACTATTTTATATATTATTAATATTATAGCAACTACTCTCAAATCTAATTAATTCGAATCTCGGGGTTTTGGGGTTTTGGGGTTTTGGGG